TGTTCAATTTTTTATATTACTGTAAATTAGCTTCAAATATAAAATACATATTCATATTTACGTTGCTGTATTTTTTTAAATATAAATTTAATGTGTATAGTATTTTTTATAATACAAATTTGATGTGCTGTATTTTTTAAAATATAAATTTTAAAAATTTGGCCGTTAATAAATAAAAGGTTTAATGTTATACATTGAAAAATTATAAGTCATGAGACCGATTCTAGGACCGAAAGACGGACCGACCGGACTAATAAACATTATTATTATAAAATCGGTCTTATAGGGACTGGGACTGACCGGGACGGACTGATCCATCCCTACTCGATACCCACCAAACTAAATTTGATGATTTTTTTTTATTTTGATTCTATAAGTATATAGTATCAAAATAAAAAAATTCATCAAATTTGGTTTGGCAGTTGTCGTGATATCTTCATTTAAAGTTTATCAACAAATTAAACTGTCTATTTAAATTGAAGTCGTAATAGATTTTTTCTAAACTTTAATTGAAGATATCTTGACTACCACCAATCCAAAATTGATGAAATTTTTTATTGTGATTTTACATACCAGTTTAATCAAATAAAAAATTTTGTTTGGCAGTTGTTGAGATATCTTTGTTCGAAGTTGTAAAAAAGTATTGAATTTTAAGTGGCGATCTACATGTGCACTTAATTCTATTGGTCAAATTTTTGTATTGTATAACCGAAAATTTTTTATGATGTTGCGTTACTATGTATAGTCATAGACCCCTGGCAGGGGCAATAGTTTATTTAACAATTTTTTTAGCCAATTATCATTCTGTTTTCACTTAGACACCTTCACAAACCTTGAATTCCGGAACTTTTTAACGTATATAAATCATGGCTAATGTATGGTATGAATATTTTGATGAAACTATATTGAAACATGGTATTTCTGACAAAACTGAGAATGCATTTATAAAGGAGAGCCTACGACTTATCTATTACAGGTCAACTGACGTGCTTGTCAAAAGTCTTTACGCGATTATCAATAAAAGTTTAGAGCCAAGAAAATAAAAAGGCTAATAGCCTTTTGACTACTCTTCAGGTCTATATTTTATGTCCTCCCGAACATTTATGTCCTTTCAACTTTTAGTTATCTAAGCTTTTAGCTATCTGTGACTTTTAGTCATCCAAAGCCTCTGGTCATCTACAACTTTTAGCTTTAGTTATCCAAAATTTAGTTATCCAAGCTTTTAGCTGTTCATGACTTTTAGTCATCCGAAACTTTTAGTTTCCACAACTTTTAGTTGTTCATGACTTTTAGTCATCCGAAACTTTTAGTTTCTACAACTTTTAGTTGTGTAAAATTAGTTGTAGTTGTCCAGAATTAGTTATTCGCAGTTTTTATAATAATCATTTAACTAATAACACTAATAGTTTTTTTTATTATAAGAACAAGTGAGTTGTTACAAACGTGAAATGCAAATATTGATTTAGGAAATTATCACCAATTTTCATCTTGCACCGATATACGAATTGGGTTTGTTTCTACAGCAACCAAATATATTGATGAATTAATTGAGAATGTGGGATTCAAGGACTTTTATAAGTAATTCTCTTTTCTTTTCAGGTTGATTTATTTATCTCTGTCCTTTTAGAGTGATACTCGCAGTGATCTCTATCAGAAACTCCAAGTCCCATTCATATCATCAGAGGAAACCTATTCATTTGAGAAATAAGCTGGGCTCATCGATTTGCTGATAAATTGTAGGTTTAATGAACAGCATTTTGCACTTTCTGCATTAAATATTTACATGAGATCTAATTTCGAACACTCACAAAAATTTGCTTTGTCTTATTTTTATCCTTATATTTTTTGAAGTTCCATGCAATCCACTTTCAATCGAAATTCTGAAGGTTGGATCAATTGCTACCTTTTGGCACGATTTTCCTAATATGTGAGGAAACCCAAGTTCATCGGTAAATATGATGATTTCTTAGCTTTTAGTCCCAGTGTTCTATTCTAATTCTTTATTTTTTCATTTCCAGTTGTGAAGAAATGTCTCTTGCCTCAATTATGCGCAAAAATATACCAAGAGAGGAGTCAGAAAAGAAGAAATTAGGTCACAAAATTGATATTATTTTTCGTATAGATGATATAGTGTATTTTAGTGCAGCTCAATTTAATTTCACCGACAACTCTAGTTCAGACTACCATTTTTTTGTATTTTTTTCTTGTTTTTGTTCGCCAGGATCATCAAATTTCTCAAATTTTTATAATTTAATTGGCATACTATCACATGATCTTGCAATGCTTTAGACGACCCCAATTATGGAAGGTACGTAAGTGACAACCTAATAATTAGACAAATACAGAAGTGAGAAAATTATTCGTTATAATGCCCATCTCTAAAATGGTGTTTCTTTTTATTCAACATATATTTTTCATTTCCAGGCAGCTTGAACCCTGCATTAATTATTTAATAATATATTTCTTCAGGCAAAACCAGTCCTGTCAGAAAAATTCACGGTTCTATTTCAGCAAATAGAACGTTTATACGATGTCAGGATAATTGGCTCGGCATGAATTTTTAACATTTTTATAGT